GTGTTCTGGATGGCACCTGGGTTGGGTTCCTTGTGCGTGGCTCCCTAAAGCCTTGCAGCCTGGGAATGGCTGTGTTTTACCTTGGCAGCGCGTCTCCAGCGTTAGCTACACCTTAGACACTTGCTGCTCACTTGACTTTGCAGAGAAACGGAGCTGTTTTCCTGCCTGAAGCCTTGAGAGCCAGGGCAGGATTCACATATATAAAGGCCTCGTGCATTGTGCCGTGCATCCGTATGCGGGACAGGCCGGGATCCTGCCGTCTGAGCGTCGCTTGCGTTTTGACCATTTTCAGACTTAATTGGAACCACCGGAGCGCTCGGCCTGCGCTGCAGATGTTACAGGGAAGGGCTCTTGATCTCCGCGCAGCTGCGCTGGGGCGACTGCGCCTTCCTCTTGGTGGCATTGCCGAGGAACGCGCCGAGGTTTCTATTCCTCGGCTCTGCCTCCTCTGTGTTTCCCAATCGCACATTTCGTTCTCACGTCCCCGCTCTGGACTTAGGCAGCCTGTTCCCCTTGGGAGATCCGGCGAGACAGATCGGTGCATTTGCTGCCTACCCCTCCTTTCTCCTCCCCCTCTCCGTTATAACACTGTTTGGGGCAGCAATTGCCTTATCTCTCTTCTGCAGCTCCAGAGAAATTCATTCCCTGGTGCGTACGGGGCTTCCTGTCGCAGGAATCGCTCCAACCTCTTAGCCTGATTAGCTCCCTGTGCTGCCTGCATGTGTGCTGGAGAGGGAGAGACCATCTCTAATTTAATTTAATAGGATCCTGAAGAGAACAAACTCCTTTAAGCTGCCTCTGTAATGGCACTGCCATAGTTACCCATAATGTTGCTCACGCAGTGTCTGGAATCGTTTCATTCAGCTATGTGATTGACTTTTCCTTTTTTTTTAAAAAAAAAAAATATATATATATATATAAAAGCAGCTGTGATATAAACAGTTTCCAAGGTAACAAGGCCGGGGGAGGGTTTTGTGTCCCGTCCCCCGCTTTTCCACGCCATGGGAGCGGGAAGCTGCGGGGAATCCTGGGAGGTTTCATTCTTGACTCCCAATTCCTTTCTGCCACCGCTGCCAGATGTTGCAGCGTCTCGGGGCCGCGCGGATGCACTCGGGGACTTCCCAAGCCTCGCGACGGGGATCCTAGGCCTGGCCTGCTCCTGCTATGACCCGTGCCAGGACCTTTTGTGCAGGCTCCCTTCTCCCTAACAAAAGGCTGACGTTTGGCTTTGATGCCCACGAGGAGCCGAATGGAAAGGCCCATGCGCGGGTTCCTGCAGAGCTAAGTTAGATCCTTCCCCCCGGCCCCGGCGCTCTTTGTTTGCGCTTCCCTGTCCCGCGCCATGGGATGTGCGTCCTCGGCACCGCGAGAAGAGGCGGCCGTGGCCAGGTGAGTCCATCTGCCCCAGCGGCTTCGGGGGCCGCCGCGAGCCGGGGG